GATTCCTTCAACAGATATGCGACTGCGCGGACCGCGTTGACTGCTGGGCGTCCGATACCCTGCATAGCCGCTATCTGGAAGAGGGCTGTCGAGAGCGTGTCCAAAGTGGGCGTCGCACCTGCTGGTACGAATGTGAGCGTCTCTTCGAGGTATATCTTGCCCTTTTCGGCATCGCTAATCTCCTGATCGTTCCCCTCTATCTCCGCCGATCCAGCCGCCCTCGTCCTTTTCCGTTCTTGTGGTTGTGCTTCTGCTTCGACAGGTTGGGTATGTCGTGTGATTGTCATTTTACCTTTGCTCGTCAGAGTCGTCTGTGTCCTGGGTTTTGCGCCAGTCCCAGACATGATCTGGGCTTGTTTTCTATGGGTTTGAAACTAGTTTTAACGTTCTGAATGCTGTATCTAGCCCGGGTGCTCGTTTTGTAGTCGATAAGTCGCCCAAAATTTTCGGGGTCCTAGTCGGGGTGCCACGTGGTTCCGGTCCAAGAAAGGTTCCCAACTGACTATTAGTAGTGTTGCCGCGGCTCGGCTAGCCGAGAGCCGGCTGATGTAAGCCAGCTAAATTTCCTTAAGTGGCTCAGCTCGGCTTTTAGCTGACTCAAAGCTGGCTCAAGCCAGCACATAATTTTTAAAGTGGTGTGACTAGTGTTGCCGCATTTTTTTAACGGCTTATTTTTTGTTTTGTTTATACAGAGCGGAGTTTTCCCTCAAATTTTACGTTCTTAAACCTTCTGTATAGATGAGAAGTAGATCTAAATTTAGAAAAAAAAACCGCCAAGAACGACCGAGATTTGATTGAGAGATTCAATTGGCTTTGAAAAAAAGCTGGCTCATTTGAGCTGCAACTTGGCAACCAGCTAAACATAAATAGCTCAACGAAAACGTAATGCTTCTTTACGTTCTTTTTTGTATAATTTAGATCTACTTCCTATCTATCTGGAGAGTCCAAGAACGTAAAGTTCGAATAATAATTACGCTCTCTATAAGCAAAACAAGAATTTATCTGCTAAAAAACGCAGCATCACTAGGTGTGACTGATTTTTTTTAATATAGGGGATAGGGGATTTACCTATTATTTTGTAGGCAGAATACCCTCATTGGCATGTTTGTTGACAGATATTTACCAATGGGTTTGACCAATGTGTAGTATATGCATTGATGTGCACACTATTTCCTAATTGGGAAAAGTGTTACACTTTTTTCTGCCACACCTGATGTCAGGCACAGTGTGCATTTGGGTAGGTAACTGTTTCCCACGCTTTTTGGGCCAGAAGAGTTAGTGGCTAGCAATGGTGTGGTCATTGTTAGTGATGATGTGCACACTATTTCCTAATTGGGCCATTTCCTAATTAAGAAAAGTGTTACACTTTTTTCTGACAAACCTGATGTCAGGCACAGTGCACATTTAGGTTGGGAACTGTTTCCCATGCTTTTTGGGCCAGAAGAATTAATGGCTAGCATGGTGTGGTCATTGTTAATGATGATGTGTGCACTATTTCCTAATTGGGCAACTTCCTAATTGGGAAAAGCATTACACTTTTTTCTGACAGACCTGATGTCAGGCACAGTGC